GAATTCCTCCCAATCCCTCCAATGCTGCCAATGGCCCAAGCCGCTCACGTCCTCCACTCTGATCGAGGATATGTAACTCCTTAACGCTGGAAGAAGACGATAATGTTCCTCTAGATAGAGAAACTGAACTTATATCCCTAGAATTTCCCCTTCTGTTTGATAAATTGCCATAGGGTATCCCGTGAGCGCCATGTCTTGACCTTCTGTTGCGCATAGCAAGGGGGTGACTGGAAGTTTTTCGTGCATGAGTCTGAACTGAAGGAGTTTCTCGTGAGATGGACATTGGAGAGAGAGGCTCATCCTCGCATAAGGGGGGAGCACTTCCTCACTTCTCTTCAAAGCATCTAAGGCTGCCATGGAAGATATTGTTTGAAGGGAGTCCGAGGAAGGAATCCTTGTTGCAGTGCAAATTGGACAAGGGCTCGAAGGGAAAAGAGCTAGGGTGGTCGGAGGGGGTTGAGTTCTGAACGTCCATTCCCTCGCAAATGCTGACTTCTGAATCTGGTAGATCACTGAAGGAGGAGGAGAGGTTTGAGGAGGAGGGTAATTCAGGTTCAAGAAGCTGGGAATCATTTGTGAAGTGATGGGCAGTGGGGTTAAAGATACTGGAAGAGAGGGAATGGGATGGGACTTGGAGGGAACATGCTTCCGTATTGGGAGTGATGGTCTTGATGATGATGGTGGGGGCTGAGTTAAGGGTAGAGAGGATGGTACTATCACCTTTTTGTTTTCCATTTTCAGTAGTAAGAGCAGGGACAGATGAGGAAGGAGAATGAACAATACTATTTTCAGTAGGTACAACAATAAAAACAGAGGACTTAGAATTTATAGCAGGGATAAAGTTTTCTTTTATGGTAATAACTTGTGAAGAAGAAGAGTGCAGTTTAGGTAAAACTTGAACAGGGAGATCTTGTTGTAGATTGTGGTCTGACACAAGCTCCAGCTGTGTAGAAGTAGTACCTTGCACTAAGTATTCAATAGTACAAACTTCACTTGAAACAGTGATAGGAGGAATTATACTATCTTTATTGCCCAAGAGAGAGTTAGGTGGCATTAAAGGATGAACAATGCTATCATGGGTCCCTTCATCTTTCAAAACTTCTCTGTCTAAAACATGCCATAAATTTTTCGAGCTCTAAGCTAATTTATTGCTCGAGTTTATTTGTTTTGTATTTTGAGACTTGGAAGCTAAACCTTTGGATTTCCCATTCTGATGATTAGCACTACTTTTCGAATTGGGTTGATTTCTCCCTTTTTTTCTTTTTGGATCAAGTGACTAAAGTCCATGGGCCATAGTTATCCAACATTCCATCTGGCTTTGCAGAGTGGGCCCCTACATTAGCCTTGGAAGTACTAGTACTAGCAATATCTTGAAGAGATAAAGGAATAGAAATTGGACTAGATTTGGGTTTCAGAGACGGTGCCAAATTTTGTGGTGGCCCACCTGATCCATGCAGAGATGTGGACAATCTAGAATGTACCACCTGTGAACATTCTTTTGAGAGATGTCTAATTTTCCCACACGTAAAGCAAGGAGAATGAATATTCTCATACTGAATTTGCTGCCATGCACCACCCACCCAAACCTTAGTGATCAAAGGATTGGACATATTGATTTCTACACAAACCCTAGCATACCTTGCATGAGATAACTTATCCGTTGCTTAATCCACCCTAATAGGAACCCCTATGCGTTTAACAATTTGGAATAACTATTCCTTATCATAATATTCAACTGGTAATCCTGGAAAACGAATCCAAACAGACATAATGTCAAAATTCGTCGACGATGATAAGAAATTAGGTTTTCATTTGGTTAATACTAGATAGTGATCTAATATAAACCATGGCCCCCCATACAGAGCCCTCTCATGATCATCCAGAGTTGAAAACCGAAACAAATAAACATTGTTACCTACATCAATTGTTTCCAAAGATCCTCTCACTTTCCACGTAATTTTAGCACGTGAAGCCATAAAACTAAGTCTGCTATTGATACCCAAGATCTTGCCCATGAGAGTAATCCTCCATGGCTCTCTCAATCGGTGGAGAGTTTCAGATGTGAAACCAACTACTAGGGTGGAATTTGGCAAATCCTCCCCCTTTTCTTCCCAATCCAACGATGTGGCTGCAATTAGGGTTGTACACAGGTCCAAAACCAGACCGGGACCGGAACGGACCGGGACCTGAACCTCTTTTTTTTAAGGACCGGGGACCAAACCTGATTCAACAGGTCCGGTTCCGGTTTAGACCTGAAAAAACAGGTCTGGTTCGATTTTGGACCTAATGGGACCTGAATTTTTTTTTACTCTAAAAAAATCATATTGAAAATATAAAAAAAAAATAATGTTAACAAAATTCAACTACTGTAATTTACATTTATATGACATATGAGTATTAATTTCTGATTTAACATTGCTTAAAAAATCAGATTTAACATGAAAATAATATATATATATATATATGTAAATATACACCACAAGTCTACGACGCCCACAAGAAGGTAAAGAACTAAGCCCAGAGTGGCTGCTGGGTCGCCGGAATAACGCATTTTGGTGGCCTCGGTCGCTGGAGTCACGTGTTCTGGTGGCTGCGATCTCTGGAGCAGCGCAATCTGGTGCCTACGATCACTAGAGCCGCGCTAACTAGTGGTCGCGGTTGCTGGAGCATCGCGATCTAGTGGCCATGGTCGCTGGAGTCGCGCGTTCTGGTGGTCGGTGCTGGAGGTGTGCGATCTGGTGGTCGTGATGTATCTTCGTGGTGGTCACCACCTCCGGTGACTTGAATTAATGAGGACTTGAGGGAGAGAAGGTAAGAAGGAGACAATCAGATAGTGGGAGGCGAAGTTTAAGAGTGAGATTTAGGGTTGCAAGTTAAGGCTAATTTTTAAGTTTTATAGAAAAAATACATCTTTCACGGTTTTTAAGTCCGGACCTGAAACCCCTAGGTTTAGACCGGACCTGGACCGGAACCGGATTTGCTGAATTTCAAGGACCGGGAACGGGACCGAACCTGAATCTGCCAGTCCAAACAGGTCAGGTTCAGGTCGGTTTCAGGTCCAGGTTAGATTGTGTACACCCCTAGCTGCAATATTCCTTGCCTCATTGAACCATTGTGTTGAACTAGCAACAACTTCCCTAAAAGAAATAGGGGCTAAAACTGATCTTGGAGAGTTCACTTTCTCAACAACAACACAATTATCATTACTAACATCCATATGATCAACTAGTTGAATATCAGAGTCAACTAATAGATGATTAGCAACCTGAGCTAAAAGATTATTCTCTTCCATTAGATGGAAGAGATAAAAAAGAAAAAGGAACAACTTATTTAGCTTGACCTGAACAAACTCCCAAGGTCTCCACACCCCTAGGTGTGAAGGTAACCCCTAGTTATTCGTACAAGTTAACTATATAAGTTGAGGAACCTAAAATTCTAGAGAGAAGGCGGAGAAAAATTCTAGAGAGAGAATTAGCGGTTTTTTCATTGCAAAATAATTGTTGAGTCCTTAAAAGTGAGAACCTAGTTGTAAACACTCTACCTTGAGGGATCTTGTCCAAAATATATTGTTGCCTCTACAAACAAACGTCTTTAAATGACCTTGGTTGATACTTTTTTTTTTGTTTGCTAATACCTTATTTGAATGTGCCATTTGTAACAATAAGGCAATGGGTTTACCTTTTTTTTTTTTTTGAAGGGAAGATCAATTTATTAATAAGAAGTCATATGACATCTACAAAAGAGATCGGAAATGATAAATACAATGAAAATTGAATCAAATAAGAATTCTAATTCTATAGACTACAATCGCGAGTGAGAATTGACATTGATGAATACCCTCGTCTCTTGAATCGCTGTCTTCTGCAGTCTTCTTCTACGAGGGGGTCTTGGATTTTTTATAGTTCTTAAATTGAACAAAAACTTGATTCAATTAATTGTAGTCGTTGATCTAACACCTTTACGCCGCACGAACCACCACAAAAAAAATTAGAAATTCCGATAACAAAAGGGAAATCATCTACACCAATCAAGACCATCATAAGGATGGGATCTATTATTATAAGTGATTAAAAAGAAATTTTGGGCTTACCACTTATCAAGGAACTAGTGGTAGCCCCTACCAATAATCACAATGGAGATCAAGCAGAGAAGGGTGAAGGAGGAAATAGGGAGAAGATTGAAGGAAACCCTAAAAAACTGAAAGAATCCTAGCAAAAAGCTAGGAAAAAAACACCCTCCCAAGGTAAAAACCTAGAGGGAAAACCCTTGAGATAATACTATTTAAGCAATGGGTTTACAGTGCATGAGAAGACGGTTATACAGTGTTATGATAAATTACGATGGGGTGTGCTGGTAGCATGAAAAACATAATGCCATTTAGTCCAAAATTTATAAGAAAAATTAACAAGAAAATCGAATTTTAAGTAGTCTTCCAATTTTAAGTTCAACTTTGATTAATTCAAAAATAAGTCTAACTTTGATATCTATTTTTCATAAATGGGTATTTTTACCTATGACCGGTCAAAAAGGTCATCAATTAACTTATAACATAATCCACTCTCAATTAAATAGAAATTAACTTAATTAACAACATAACCTTAATATAAAATTTAAATACCAAAATTAACAAATAAATTTTTCAGAAATTGAGGTTTCGGGTTAGGTGGTCCTAGGTTTGCGGTTGGTGTCGACTAGGGTGGAGGTTTTACGGGTCCGATCGACTAAGGTGGGGTTGGTGGGGGTTTCGCCAACGAGGGCATAGGTTAGGAGTGTGTGGGGGTTCGTGAACATGGGTTCATTGGGTGGGGGTTCGCGGGTCGAGATAGTATATATATTTTGGTTCAGGAATGGGTTGGGTGGAGTCGCCGACTGGGAGTTGAAAGGGTTTCGCAAGCAGGGGTGGGGGCTGGATGGTATTTTTCTCGGCAGGGATACAGGTTGGAGCTTGATGATGGCTGGTTGAGGTTGTAAGGTGGTCCAACAGTTAATAAGTTGAGTAGTTTTTTTTTTTTTTTTTTTCATTATTCAGTTTTTTTAATTAGTTAATTGTGTGTTAGTTAGCTTTTAATTTGGATATAATTTAATTACACTTTTTTAAAAAAATTAATTGAAACAAATCTCACCAATAACATTTGACACATGGAATATTACCCGTTGTTAACCCATATAACAAGTCATGACTTAATATTGAAAGAGTAACCATAAAGTTTGGCTTATTTTTGAATTAATTAAAGTTAAACGTAATATTGGAAAACCACCCAAAGTTCAGCTTATTGTTGTTAATTTTTCCAAATTAATATACTAGGATTATTCAATACAATTCCTTTTAATATCATCCTCTACAACGTAAAAATCTCTTTAAATTGAAAAATGGAATGGAACATGAGAAAGGGATAAGTGTAACATACAGTAAGAGGACAGAGGGTACTCGTCGCATCAGAAACATGATGCTATTTTCACCAAAATTTAAATTAGGATGTTTCAAAACTATGTTCCTCTTAACATAATCTTCTACAGTGTAAAAATCTAGATAAGCTTCTTCTTTTGAAAGTAACGCTTCAAGTACAATAATTGGAAGCCAGAAACTGTAATGCAAACTGCTAAAGACATTATACTGAACATTGCTACCCTGGTATTGGTCTTTTCACTCACTATCCTCATTTCGGCTTCCCTGAAAGAACAAAGCAAACATTTTTATACAAATGCACTGATAATGACAGCGTGGATTGTAAGTTTTAATGATTATACAAATGTATTTCCGGTATTACCTGTTTTTCAGATACAGTAGATTCTCGTGAATGGCTTCCACTGCTGCCTCAAGTTTCCTTAGCTCGAGCTCAACACCCTGCAAGAAAAAGAAAATTATCATATATCCATGCAATCCTGGGAGTATTGGAAGATAGTGTCCACATGCAAAAGAATCTACCTAGATATACAGTGTCTATTCTTTCCCTCTTGAAAGTTGTATGGAATGAAATGTTTTTCAATCACTAGCTAGTGTAATGGAACCAATTTTAAGTTCAACCAAGATAAGTCACAGTTTATCCTAGAGAAGGCTGGAGAAAATATAGAAATCACTAGTGCAGTGATGATGGTTGAAAAAATATATCTCTACAAACATTATATTGCAGCTAAATTCTACTATAAAAGAATTTTGAGGGGCAGCCAGATTTTAGACACAACCAGATGACAAAGATCACTTCAAGCAAAGTAGGCCAAGTGTTGTTCAGCTTCCTTCCTCTTAAGTATTTTTCTCCCATTCAAGTGTGTATGGGGACTGAGGAGTACATGTTAGATGTTACCAATCTTCGCATTATTATTTCTTACTGGAATTGCAGCAGAATTAAGATGTGTAGTGGGCAAAGACTGAGGACAAAGGATTTAAAAGGTGTGTCTGGGTAGCATTAATAGCCTCCAAAAATGGGAGCTATGTGGTAGATTTGGAAAATTCGAACAAATTCCACAAGGCCATATACACTTCTAAACCCACACATTCAATCAATACACACACATAGGCTAGGGATTTATATGCTCATTATTTTGTCACGTAGTGAGTGCACAAGATGTGAACACTAAAATCCAATGATATCCAAATAATAGGACTGTATGATCTTATGATGCAAACATTGCCAAAAGACCCAGATTGGGTTCAAATTTGCACACATGCAAGATCAGGCAACTAAAAAAAATCATAGGAGCCAATCAACAGTCACATAAAGTAAATTAATAATGAAAAGATTATATCAATTATTAATTTTGTTCCAGAGATAATACAAATAAGCATTAAATGTTTTCAAGTATATTAATAAATGCATAAACAATTTGATCCTAGAAGGCCTCCCATCCAAAGTAGGATCCTAATCTTGATAGCATTGCCAACATGTGTAATAGTGGGCCTCAGTGGCTCATGGGCGAGACAAAATTGTTGATTTTGCACAAGTATGGACACCACAACCGCCACTTAATTTAACCAACCACCATTGAAACTACCAAAGTCATCCCACCACCACTGAAATCAATCAATTACAGGCATAAACCATGATCATCCTTCTTCCACCATTGCCGAATACATCTTTTAGTCAAAACTTAAGATTCTACCATTGAAAAAACTACTAATAACACCGCAATCACCAACTACCACAATGACACAACCACCACAACACCCCAAAAGAAAAGAAAAATATTTCAATCTCCTGAGAATTCTTCCAATTTTAGATTATTGATTGTTCTTTTGAACGGTTGAAATTCATAGATAAACGCAGCAGAGGATAGTAGTGGTTGGTGCTTAGTGTACCGGAAGAGAAAAGAAAAGAAAGAATTAGTGTTGGAATGGCACTCAAGGTTTCAGCAGCAAAAAAGAACTAGGCAAAAGCACGTATTAGTTAATTGGACTTAAGGCTGGCCGGAAACAAATTAGCAAGAGCACAATGTTTACATAGATATTCAGAAGAGCAGTTTAGTAATAGTCACAGCTTGGCCAGTCACCGGTGTATAAAAAAGAGTGCCTTCTTAAAAAAAATAGAAAATGCACTAAGGAGCACAAAAGGAGATACGAGAGCATCGACACTACTTTTGGCGATATTCGAGTAATGTTGACTTGATTAAGATCTAAAAATATTTGAGCTTGATATGAATTATTTAGATAATTTTCCTCGTATATGGGATGCGACTTAGGTTGTATTTATTCTAGTTATTATCTTGTAATTAATCCTAGCCTTTCATTTTGTATGGTTTAGATTTAATGAGCTTTAGGGTTTTATGTCAAGTACTAGTGCCTCCTTATAAAAGGAGTTAATTTATGATGTAAAACTTAGACTTGTTTTGATTATTGAAAATATGGGATTTTATCTCTTCATTGAGTTCTTTAAGATCACTCCTTTGTGGTAAAATCTCAATCTTTATCAAACTTTGTGATTGATTAGATTGAAACCCTTGTTTCTCTAGACTTTGTGACTAGTGAATCAAGTTATTTTTGCTAGATAATCTTACTTGGTGTTAGCTTATTTTAGCTTGTTCTCTTAGATCTTCATCCAAAGACCATATCTTTATTTCTTTTGCCATAAAAAACTCACATTTCCCCAATATTAACACCACCATTTCCTTATCACCATTAACCATCATCATCATCAAAGCGCACTAATTTTTCCCTGATTTATTTTACTCTTGGGGCCTCTTCTGATTCACTGACCTGATATGAATTGAACTAATTAGATCTTAACTAAACTAAACTAAATATTTTATGAGAGAAGGAAATTAGGAACTGAAAATAAGCCAAAGTGAACAAGCCCTTGCTGTGAGAATCAACACAAGCGCCACCAACGTCTCCTCTCCATCAGCCCGTCAATTTCCCAGCAAGAAACCATCATCAATCACCATTTTCTTTCAATTTTCGCCCAAAATTTGAAGACCCGCACAAAAATTAAACCCATTCCTCCATTTTTCAAACCAACACGGATAAATTTGTTCAAGCGCCGTCCTTTAAGCCGCTTCCAACACCGCATTTTTGAAGCTCTACCACCAGCCACCACCACTACCAGATTTTAAACAGGCTTCATTCGGGTTTCTATCGGGCCGCATTTGGGTTTGCTCTTGTAGAACAGAGGTGCGTATTGAGAGGGTCGAGAATATCACCAATTTTTATGCCTTGGTTTGTTTTAGTGATATATGATTGATAAAATAAGTAGTTGTATTGTTGAATTATACAAAGTACTAAGGATAGGAAATTTAAGTTGTTGATATATTTGAAAGGGATTTTACATTGTTGTTGGCTGAGAAAAAAAATAGTTGAATTCATGAGTTCTTGCAACTATAATCAGCTAGTGTGTTCTGATTTTTTTTATGACTCAAGTGATAGGATGCATCCTTTTATGAATGTGGAGTTGTTTGTAGAAAGGGATGATCTTGGCTCCATCTTTGATGGCCAAGTTGATTTTATTGGACCCCCTATTTTTGATGAAGAAATTGAATTTGAACTTAATGTTCCCTCTCCATTGTTAATCTTGTCTTCTATCTCATATGCCTCCACTCAATGACTTTTATTTATTACTATGTAGGAACAAGTGTTAACAAGAGAACATGTGAGTTCATTTCTATGTTGGGATTATCTAAGAATGGTGATTTTATTTTCAAAGAGTCAAGGGATTGGCTTGGACATTCTAATTGTGCATTCGCTTAGATGATGATCACCTTGTGTTTCATATCACTCTACTCTAGGTTTTGTTGTTTGGATGTTTGATCCGAGAGGTTTGATTATGATACTTCTTGGTAACAAGTGATGTTTATTTGCTTTTAATAAACGTCGTCTCCATTCGCTTGATCATGTCGGGTTGATATTACCTCTAGGAATTGAGGACAATTCCTTTAAAAGAGGGGTTTGATACGAGAGCATCGACACTAATTTTGGCGATATTCGAGTAATGTTGACTTGATCAAGATCGGAAAATATAGAGCTCGATATGAACTATTTAGATAATTTTCCTCGTATGTGGGATGCGACTTAGGTTGTATTTATTCTAGTTATTAACTTATTATCTTGTAATTAATCCTAGCCTTTCATTTTGTATGGTTTAGATTTAATGAGCTTTGAGTTTTATGTCATGTACTAGTATCTCCTTATAAAAGGAGTTATTTCATGATGTAAAACTTAGACTTGTTTTGATTATTGAAAATATGGGAGTATTTCTCTTCATTGAGTTTTTTGTGATCTCTCCTTCGTGGTAAAATCTCAATCTTAATCAAACTTTGTGATTGATTAAATTGAAACCCTTGTTTCTCTAGACATTGTGACTAGTGAATCAAGTTATTTTTGCAAGATAATCTTACTTGGTGTTTGATTATTTTAGCTTGTTCTCTTAGATCTTGATCCAAGATCATATCTTTATTTCTTTTGCCACAAAAAACTCACAAAAATTCCTCAAAAAATATCATTGCTCTTCTTTTTCATATCAAAAGGTACCTTGGACAACATAAGGTGCATGACAGTCTAGAAACCCTTATTGCCTGGATGCACTTTAGGCTATCTAAACACTAAGCACGGATAATTTACATGTGTGTGGAGTTGTGTCTTCAAAAACCAACACCTTAGTTTGGTTTTGGTATGTATCTTATGGAAAAAAGGCAAAGCATTAAATTGTACTTATTGATGATCATGGTCACGTGATTTCCGATATAAACTTTGTTTTTTGTTCATTTAAATAGATATCGGGCCTTATTCTAGTAGTATTACATATTTTTCGGGTAATAGGAATAGGTTTATATTGGCAGTGGGTTTGAAACAATAGAATATCTTGTAGCTTGTGGATTTAATTCTTTAATGTAATATCACATGTTAACTAATTAATCTCAGGTTATATAATCTTCAATTATTGCTACATATCTTAAAATTTACCCCCATTCAAGGGTTTGGTGTGTGATCTAAAACTTACAGCATATGCACATCAATGTTCCGTTGAAAACCAAATCACCAACCAAGACCTGACTCCAGTCCAAACACAGAAAGAAAAACATGAATCTAAACACAAAATACATCGAACCAAACAGAGACAGAAATAACATACTTTACAAGTCATGTCTTTCCTCATTTAACACCATTAAATAGTCACAGGTAGTTAGTAAAAGGTAGCCCTAGCGTAATCTCAACTTTTCAATCACCATTTCATATAGGAAAAATAGAAGTTTGTGAGTAAATGCAAAAAAATTTCCAAGTAAAAAATTAATCACAACCCTAGACATTGCACTAAGTTTCAGAAAAATTTAATAGTGGGCACCGGAGGGGGAATTTTAGAATATAAAGTATAGTAAGTGAAGATATATTTATTTGTCACTAGAATAGGGAAAAAAAAAGGGTAGTGTAAGTGGGGTCAGTAGGAGAGAGAAATAATAGAATATTTGTACAAGTAGGGTTAGTGGGAACAGAGAAATAATAAAAATGTAGTACTGGACCCTTACCAAATAAGGAAGTGTTGTAACTAGTACAAAATAGATAAAAAAAAAAATTAAAAAAAAAAAGGAAAGTGTTATGATTAATATAAAACGAAAAGGATAATATTTTACCCTTCCATGATTAGATACGTAAATATATCTTCACATTAATCTCAAGGCTATAGATGCTAAAAGAATTATTCACTCAATGATGTTGAATCTTTCATCAATGTCCTCTTGTGCGAGTTGGAAGTTGTATATATATATATATATATATGTGGTTGAGATCCAATGAGAAGGATCTTAAAATAAGAGAAGGATGAGAAGGAACAAATGTGCATATATTTTATACTAAATGTGCATTTTTTTTATATTGAATGTGCATAATTGTGTTTCTGATAAAAAATTTTAATTTTCTGGAAAAACAAAAATTATGCACATTTGTTCAAAAAAATATACACATCAAATTTGAGTCAATTTTTTTTTTTCACATTTAGTTCAAAAAATATGCACGTTTAGTACAAAAAATATGCACAAAAAATCCTTCTCATTCTTCTCATTTTAAGGAACTTCTCATTTCATTTACTTTTTCTAAATTTCATTTACTTTTGAGAAATGAAACTGTAAACTACTTTATAAAGTTAAAATATTACAAAAATGCCATTAATGACACGGGAAGCATGTGAGCTGTCCGATTAACATGATCTAAGGGCCTACATTAGTTCCTAGTTCTTATTTTAGCCTTAATTCTCATTATAACTTGGTTCTATATATATAGGGGGTGGGGGGGGGGGGGTTGTAATCCAATGAGAAAAATGAGAAGAAATCCTAGCCATACAAATCATTTATTCCAATAGACCATATAAAAGCTAAAACAATCCCAAAAAAAGAAAAAATTCAATCTAACCGATACTACTAATGCCATCCATTAACTCCATATGTCGTTTCCTTTTTCCATGAATAAATCAAAATAATTTTTTCATTCCTCATTAAATTTCCCACTTAATTTCATAATTCCTAGATTTCTTACTCTGATTCTAACCTGACCGTGATAAAGTTCTCAAACTAATTTCGTCAACGACACTACAACAAATTAAGAGGTACAGAGTGACTAAATAAATTCACAATTGTAATTAAATGATGATAATTTTGATATACTTGTCCCTAAGTTTTGTGTATCTAATTCAAAGGGATGCACATTCTCATTAACACAAATTCACAAAAGGATGCACATTCTAATTAACACTTGTTACAACAGAGGAAGAGAGAGAGAGAATAGAAGGTTGAATGAAAGGGTCTCACATGTGAATGAGTAATTATTATTGGATTTAAAGTTATTCAAACGCTAAATTAAATTTATGCATATTTAATTAAAAATGCACAATTAATTTGAATTCTTTCAATTGAGTACATGTAACATCTTAATGTAAATAGAGGATGAGGGAGAGAGAAAAGTATAGTCTCTTATGTGAATGAATAAGTGGATTAGATATTATGCATATTAAGAAGTAAGATTATGCACATTTTATTCAAAATTTATGCATATTTAGTCATTTAGTTAAAAAAAAATGACTAAAAATTATGCACATAAAATCCCTTCTCATTTTGAGGAACTTTCCATTTGACCCTAAAAAATAAAAGCCATAGCTATTTAAAAAATAAATAAAATAAAAAAAAATTGTTGAGGCAGAGAGGTGCATGGAGTGGAATTAAGGAGGGATTTCCCCATTAGTTCTCATATAGTAGATCCTATGATTTCACAAACTTGAATATTTTAATAGCAATTTTTACGTAAGCCAAAAGTATTCTTATCAAAGAAGCCTAGGTATATCAATCCTTTATAAAAGCGACTTCTCTAAGTTATTGATTTTCCTATATCTTGAGAAAAGTATATTTGATAAAGAAGACAGAATTATTCCTTTTTGTTTTTTTTTATATCAACAGCCTCTACACCTGGGGAGTAACATCAGGGACATATAATTACAAGAATTAAGAAATGGCAAGCCAGAAATATTAAATTTTATACCTCAATGTGCTCTTTCCTTGCAACTGATTCCCAATCCTTTGCAGCAACTCCAGTTCTCCAGTCAAGATTGACACTCACTTCTGAGCCTTTTGGATTATGACCAACCACCGAGAAACAAGCCAAATAGTTACCAGCCTCATGGGTAGTAAATGCAAATTGGCCATGTGTAACATTTTCCTTGGAGTGAAGATCGTTGCCATACGGTGATGTTACCTGCAGTAAAGGCACATATACACAAGATTTATCATTGTAAAATTAATACATACATGCACATACACTAGATACAATTTAGATTGATAAGTTTAAGTTTTTCACTGCAAAATTAAATTATTATATGAAACATCGTATCATGAAGGAACACTTTGCTATTTTACTGTGGGCATAACTACCTCCCACGGCTGATAGGCAAAGCATATAATACTCATTAATTTAGGCAAAGTTCAACCCAATCAAGGACTCTGCAGCTTTATTTCACCTTATTGTGACAGCCAGGCAGCAGCACTCTATTTTCACTTTCAACAACACATATTAATTACATTTGTTTCTTTAATCAATTTTGCTTGATAATATTAATTGTTTGCAGTAAGTTCTGCTAGGTTCGCTGCTTCCACAGTATCATAACACATAGCCGTTATACTAAACCTCACATCCAATCACAAAAAGTACAGGGAAGTGTAATGTTCACACGAGCATTTTTTCTCTTGAAACACCCACATACAGAGAAGAATACACTGATCCCTAGAGCATCCAAGCCATTTGAGACTTCTCCTGAAGAAAGAGCCATCTTTGATGCACTAAGAGTTTACTTTTAGTCCTAATTTCCAGGCTAAAATACAATTACATTACTAGGAAAAGTTGAAGATAAAAATGGATTCTGGCTTATTTCCCTAAAGCCAAAGCCAATACAGAGTAGCACAAGTTTAAGAATATTCTTATTCCTATATATATAGGCCATGAGCATTAACCCCATACACCAATCATAGTCTCATAGAACAGTGCAATGAAACCTAAACAACCTTACTTAACAGCTTAGAATCCATAACTTAAAATTTTCAATAAATTCTACATTGAATGCAATTGAATGCAATGATCTAACTGATAGCTCAAAACTCAATTATGCTAACAAAACTCAGTTGGACCTCGGAAACTGTTGATTTTTTTATGAACAGATTCCACCACTATAGGGTGCGAGTAAATGAAATTTAAGCACTAGCACCTAACTTATCTAGGTGATGCGCAAACCAAAGAGGAAGGAAGCCAAGGGAAACTATGAGCAAGAAGAATAATAGCAGCAGTCACTGTGCAAATATTAGTAGCAGAACAACCTTTTCAAAAAACAAGATGAAACTCCAAGGAATAAGCTAAACCAGGTATACTTGGGTATTTCATCAATCTCCATAGGATGTTAGGAAGCTTGAAGCAAAACCCACCAGCTGTAGTGACATTGGTACAAAACTACAGTTGATATTCCTTCGGCAGAATCAGGTCCAACAAGATGTAGATTAGCTGCAGTAAGTTCACCAGGCCTATGTCACCTAACTTTATTACTCCTAGCCAATTGGATGATGTAAGGCCTTGTTTAGTTCACCTTATTTTTACTTATTTCAGAAAAAATAAGTTCGGATCAGAAGATCAGATCAGAAAAAATAAGTTCAGATCAAATCAGGAAAAATAAGTTCAGATCAGGTCAGATCAGAAAAAATAAGTTCAGATCAGATCATATCAGAAAAAATAAGTTCAGATTAGATCACATCAGAAAAAATAAGTTCAGATCAGATCAGATTAATCAAATTAAATACAAATTATTATTATTATTATTATTACTATTATTATTATTATTACTATTATTATTATTATTATTATTACATATTATTATTACTATTATTATTATTATAATTATTAATATTATTACTATTATAATAATAATAATTATTATTATTATTATTATTGTTCAAACAATAAACGATAATAATTAAATTTTCATTATAAGCTCCAAATCATAAACGTTTACAAATATAATTTCCATCATAAGATGCTCCAAATTTCCTTCGCTATATTAAGTTGTACTTCGTTCATTAGGCCTTACGATTCTCGTTAAACAAATCATAATCTGCTCTTGGTTCGATTTCTATACTACTATCAATGGGTATATCCAACTCATGTAATCGAATAAAATTGTGAAGTGTGAATGCAGCAACCATAATCGCCAATTGATGTTTAGTGTCCATATTTGGCATCATTGTGAGTATTTTCCATTGAAATTTGAATTGTCCAAACATATCAAATCATTCCAATGATTTGTTACTAGTTTGATATTGAATTGCTTTCCACATTTTACGATCAAAGTACTCACTATTCTAACCCAATTAAGCTTTAAATATCCAAATTCTTTCATCTCCAAGCATATGTCCAACAATATCTCCGTACATTCTTCAGACAATGCTACCCAACCATCCATTACACTATGATAAAGAGCACTTTGGAATCAATATTTCATGCATAAATTATAGACATTAATGTTGAATTGGCAACAGGGTTATAATCAAAAGGATTCTTTTGAAATAAATGAACTGGAGATAAAATATTAATTGTGCTTACATTTTCATCGATATTACTTGCATTAGGTCAAATGTAAAATTCATGAAATCAAATAAATGTATATTTTCATACATTATCTTAAAAACAATGGACAAATGATAAAATTAATGACATAGAGTGTTGAAGTATTTTGCCTATGATGGAGATAAAAGACAAACAACCTATTGAACAAATGAATAGAAAAATATTTAGGAGATTGATTTAGAGTGTGAAAATTATGACACTAAGATGTTGTTTTATATAGGAAAATATAGGTGTTACCCATAGTTGTTCGGAATATTGAAATATGAAATGATAATTTTCAATTCAATTTAGTCAACCATTTTACATTACCAAAAAATTTGTAAAATTCCCTATAAAGCTATGACAAATTTAATCTGCAATTTAGGTTTTTTAGGATCCTATTTTATTACTTTCTTATAAACAAATTCATTTATGATGTTGGATATTATAAATAATAAAATTATCAAATATTACAAGTATATTACCTTATACTATCTGATAATATTAATACTTTTAGGTTTCTTTTAAAATATTTGTAAGGGATCTAAAATATTTTATAATAATAATAATAATAATAATTTTCCTAATAATAATAATTTTCCTAATAATAATAATAATAATAAATAATAAATATAATAATAATAATAATAATAATAATAAAACATTAATATGTTTTAAAAAAAAACATTAATATTGATTAAAATAAAAGTAGAATATTGAAATAATTTAAATAAGTTCAGATCAGAAAAAATGTTCAGATCTGTGATCAGAAAAGATAAGTTCACATCAGATCAGAAAAAATAAGTTCAGTTCAGATCAGAAAAAATAAGTTCAGATCAGATCAGAAAATATAAGCTCAGATAAGATAAGATAAAATCAGGTGAACTAAACATGGCCTAAAGAAAGGATCATGCGGGAAAATTTTAAGTTCCGGCAGAAAGGTGCACATTTTTTATCTGATTCTAAAGTCTGATCTGATGATCAGGCCTGAGTTGCACTTAAGTAGTTAAAGGGCATCACTTTAGTCATTAAACTCGCTGCAGCAACAGTCATTGTTCATGTTATTAAATAACAGCCAAATAAGTATCATATTGACCAATCAGGTGTTAAACAATCTGAGTTGCACATAGGCACCTTAGAAAGCTGCCATTTTGGTGTTCTGAAGAGGCTTCACAGAATTAGTCAAAACAAAGGAAAATTTAACACAAATAATCCCAACTATATAGGGTTTTCTCATTTTAATCCATACTATTGTTTAACTACGATTGATGTATAAAAAAACTCAAGGCGCGCTGATACGGGAAGGGTTATGCAGCGCCTAATGCGCGCCCAGTGTGCCTCTTTGAAGTGAGGCGCACTACATAAACAATTAAAAAAATTGGCAAAAATTTGCTTCAGCCTTACACTTAATCAAAAACACCTTGCCAGACCAGATTAAGAGCTTACCCCCTATTGCCTTGCGCCTACGCATGCCTTAGGCGCGCTTTTTCAAACACTCACTGGCATAAGGTCCTATTCTGATTTACTGTGATTGGAGCTGAGCTTACCTGTTTAAAGAGGTAAGCTCATGACATGGCATAAAGTTGTTGCTTTTCCTATTTAAATAGAAACCCTTGTTCATTAATTTGAGGTTGGTTTCTTTCTCTATTTCAGTGGAAAGTTATAAACCCAAAACTAATCCCAACATATATGGCCCCTCACCATCAAGAATTGGATCTAACTCAGTCCTTTGCAAAAAAATTTGGTTAGTAGAAAAAGAATAAGGGGAAGTTATCGCATTTCCTAGGTAAGTTCTCCAGCTCTAATAAAGACTTAATTTGTGTCCACATTTAATGTCTTTGCTAACACACTAATGTAATTTACAGCAAAGGCATCATCTTATACATATGCTCATAAACCAGAAGCCGGAAGGATTTATATCTTCATTAAGTGCAATTACTAAATATATAATGGATTAAATTATGGAGATAATTAAGTCCGTTCTTTTAGCTCGTCATTAATAGATCTTTGGACTAGTCAAATAGTCTAAAACTTAATAGAATGGATCCTATAAGGTCACACAAAAGGGTGTTGGATTGAACAAAAAGAAAGAAGCCCATTATTAGGCCTCATGGAATGGCAGATCATATGGTATGGGATTGAAGAGGGAATAATGTGGGCTTGGTTTGGGCTCTAATTATACATATGATGTATAAATAGAGACCTTGCATAGGGTTTGATATAACACAATTCCAGTCAATTGTGAATTGACAAGCTAGCAACCAAACCCTAATGCCTCACGCAATCTCTCTCTCACTCTCTTCCTCACGTCCGTATAGTAGTACGGCAGCTGGTGCAAGGTGGTGCACGGTGGCGGTGTAGTGGTGTTCGTGGTCGGTTTTCTCATCCTCTTTCCGTAGAAGGTGGTTCGAATTGTTCGTGCTCAACTACCTATCAGTAGTGGAGGTTCAATCCTATCCCGTGAACTATGTAGAGGAGCAACGCTTGGGACTTTATTATCTCCCTGATTGTGGAAATCACGCGTCAGTCAATTGCTTGTTGAAATCACGCGTCAAAGGTATGTTTTATGAGATTCTTTATGTGTTATGCTTGTAGATCCTGTTTAGGTGCAAACGAATATGATTCGTGAAATTCCGCATTTAATACCTAAAACCCTACAAAGCCAACTACCACAAGTATAGCATAGATAATGCTGGGATATGGAAACTCCAATTAAGAAAAGAATAATCAAAGAAACAACATTTTAACATTTCGAGCAACCCTAGTTTAATTTTCAATCGACCCACTTTTTCAATTTACTCACAATTGAATAATAAGTTAATGACAAAACAAGGAGAAACATCTAAAGTTATCAGTTTATTCAAAATTGAGCTTTCAAAATAGCAATAATGCCCGACAGATAAGCATCTCCCAAAGCCAAATGGTTATTGCATTTCCTGTCTGTCCCCATTTCTTCATTAATTACAACTAAGTTGGCCAGCTATGACAATAACTTGATCCCTGATGCCTTTAGCAACATCCCACACAATAATTGTGTTTGCGCACACTAACAACTACCGACAAAAGTTGATATGCTGTGATTCCTTTGCAAAGATCACAAAGTGTCAAGTACTATGACTACTATCCAATAAATATGATAAGAAATAAACTACAAGTCCAAGAACCAAGAAAAAGCACTCCCAAGGCTAACATACCAATATTCGATACTAACTTCAGTCAGCTTTAACATTATAACCCAGCAACTTAACAATCTAATAATACAGTCAATTAGGTAACAAAACTCACGAAACTCGTACTTTCTAAGATGGTAAGTTATGTCGGGGTGGTACTCGTGAATCAAGACCTAAGATCGAATCCCATCTACATCTTCGCCTTTGCGGCTCATCTAAGATCGAATACACTAATCAAACCTATCCCTAGTAAAAATCCAGCTAACATTATTGACTAACTAAAACAATCCAGAAATTAACATCCAGCCGATATCTTTGACTAATCAAATACCCAATCAAGACGAATCGAGTAAATAACCATCCACAAGAACAAAATCGGAAAAATACAGATACCCAATACAAAATCGCATCAAAAAATTGAATAAAAATTAAAAATAAATCACAAAATATAATAATAAATTGGGAGATTTACCTTGACAAAAATGGTGGGTTCATGAGATGTATGATCATCGGAAATAACATAGTAATCTGCTAAAACAACGACGTTGGTCTGAATTTCTTCAGAAACACATTTAGAGCCAGAAGCAGGTAGATTTAGCCAAATTGATGAACCCAATTGCCAAAAATTAGTTGCCCAAATCAACCAAATCAAACACAAGTTTAATTTCTTCATATTTTCTTCTCTCTTTTTCTGTGTTTCTCTCTTTCGTGGGAATTGGGATCTTCGCTAATGTGTTTCAAACTATCGTGTGTTTAACTCAATCTGAACGCAGAATAACAGGTGTTGGCGTGTTGCTACGTTCGTTCAACTCCAATTTCTTATTTCCCAATATTTTTTTTTTAAATATTATTATTATTATTACTACCTCTGGTCCAATTTACTCGCAATAAAGAAATATTTTATGTCTCACAAATAATACCCTTTTGTTGCGAGCAAATTGGACCGGAGGTATTATTATTATTATTTCTCAAAAACAAAAGTCATACAACCTACAATAAATTAGTGGGAAGTCGAGATACAATCTGGGTCTCACTCCTCTAGTTATAACAGAACATACCCTAGTAAAAATATGAGCTACAGCACGCGCCCCAATGTCTTGAGTTTTCGAGAACTTCTGAATCCGCTTCAGCAATGCAACAGCGTCCTTTTCTAACTCCCCAAGAGAAGAGAAAGAGAAAGGAAGGAAGTCATATCCAATTGCTCGACAACTAGATACGTACTTGATTCGCTTCCAATTGGCCGCATCAGTCACTACCCGTCCAGGAATAAAGTCAGGAAGCCCAGATTGTGTCAATGGAGAAGACCCTGTCAAGTCAACATAGACATCACGACCACGATCCCATGAATAAAGTAACACATCTGCAGGTCTAAGAGCCCCATTGTTCCCTCCAGATAACCCAATGCCCACCTCCTTTCTAGCTGAAATCCCTGACCGATAGCAAACATCAACAAGGGTATCCCGAACAACATTATGCCGATATTTAATGCCCACAATACCAGCACAAGATACCGCGTGATCACCGAAAATATCCTCAACAAAAAACCCTTGAACAAGCAGAGCACGACGTCGTGATAGAGAACAATGGAACACCCAACTGGTAGCACAGCACACAGCGATAAGTCTTGGCGTTCATCGTTTGACCCAACCCCGAAATAGGAACCGCTTGAAGCCAAGCAGAGGTGTGATCACCCTGCTGGGATTTCCATAATGCTGATCGTCGAGGAGTTAAAGAATAAGTAGATTCTGCAGAAGCGGTAACCTTTGTGAAAAACATATCTGCCAATTTCTTAATGAGTTTAGGGGCAGCGACCTCACTAGGATTACTCAAAATGTCAGACTCCATTGTTCCATTAAACAGACTCAACGCATTCTCAAAGGCTCGTCCAAGACCAACAATGCCATCATGCTGAAGAAGTTGGGTCTGCAACCCAGCAGACTACAACCGAGAAGCAAGAAAAGCATAGTGACGAACATCACCCGTAGAATAAATTAAACACCAAGCCCTCCAAACGCAAATGGTAAGGTGGCAAGCCGCCACTGCCAATCACCAAACCCAGGCCCCGAAGTAGTAATGATACACTCCAAGGAAGATCGAAGAGCTCCATCAAAAGTGCGTTGAGCCGCCTCAAAAGTACTAGGAGGACAAGTACGCAATGCAAAGTAGAGTTTAGAAACTCCGGTACATGCCCTAAGTAACAATAGCTCACACTGATGATCATCTAGCATAGCGACCTTATCCATAAGGGCAATGGTCTTGGTGACAGGGTAAAGTCGTATCCCCTAATAAAAAATAATTACCTAAATCACTAACTACAGTAGATAGGGAAGTAGGGTCGAACTCCACAGGGAAACAAGTCTTTTTAATTCTAATTAATTATTATAATCTAAATTATCCAAGTAACCAATATTTTTAGGTATGAATTCTATACTACGAAGAATAAGTTTAGGGAGAAAATAATCAATAATAAGGAAACCTAGGGTCACAGGTTCACCAATAATTAATATTCCGGGATAAAACGAAGTAATTAATAATTAACAATGCACAGATAACACGATTAACAGGCTCTCGCAATTTATTAATCAACATAGATCTAACAGGCTCTCGCAATTTACTAGACCTAAGTTCCTATTAAAATTAGCCTTTAATATTAAATCAACATCTGCTCGATTCATCAATTCAATATTGCTAAACATTCACAATCAAATTACATCTGCTCGAATCATAATCTAATTGCAAAGAATTAAAACAATTCAATAGGAAATTATCATGCAATATCAATAATCAATAATAACAAACTATCCCTTCATATTAATTATGGATCCCCATAAACCCTAGAATGGAACTACTCACTAATCATCATAACTAAGCCAATCAAGTAAATAATTAAAAGCATAATCAAGAAAACAATTAAAATAGCTGAAATTAAAAAGGGAAGAAATTGTACCAAAAATAAATCTGGAATTAAAGGAAGTATTAAGAACAAAAGTTTAGAGAGAATTTAAGAGAGAGAAAATACTAAGTAGAGAGAGAAAGTCTAAGAAAGAAGGTGACTAATAATTCCGTACAAAACGTATTTAAACCTCTCCTAAAACAAGAATTAAAACTAAACTAATCAGCTTCTAAGAAAACACGCGCCCGATCGGGCGAAGGGTCGCCCGATCGGGCCCGCCTTTTTTACAATGCCCTTTACTGATGTGCCGCGCCCGATCGAGCTTAGCTCACCCGATCGGGCGCGCCTCTTCCTTGAGGGTCCTTATGCGCGCAGCCGCCCGATCGGGCGTATGCTTGCCCGATCGGGCCCGGTCTTCTTCTTCGAGGCTTGAACTTCGATTGGGATAGATTTCTCGGCCCAATCCGGATTTCCTCTCGGGTCTCGAATACTTGGTCCAAATGCCTCGTGATCCCAATTACCGAGCCCTTAATCACCGGCTCTCACCGATCCTAGGCTCCAAAAGTGGTCGTGTCCTTCTAGCTTCCGTAGTCGATCCAATAAAGCCCGGGAAAATGCTCCAAGAGTGCAATTTCCTGTATAATACAACTAAAACTACGAAAACACTAGAACACACAAATTAGTAATAAAAGTGGCCCGAAAGAGCCAAAAACACTACTAATAACGACCAAGGGACGGGGATAAAACACTATATAAACTAGACATATCAAACTCCCCCAAGCCAAACCTTTGCTTGTCCCTAAGCAAAGAGCTCATCAATGAACACATAAAACATACTTCACCCCAATAATCAAATCAAAAACCAACGATTCAAGGCAAATCTAGTGAACACGCTTCAACATCAATCAATCTTATTCATCTAATCACCCTTCCTCCCCAACAATTGTCAAGTAGAGCAAACCACGAGAGCATATAGAATTCAAGACTAGTGCTCACACACTCAACTCTCATTTATGTGGCGAGTAAAGAATGTACTCGATCGCTCTCCAACCAACCCCTTTAATGTGAACAATGCCCTCCCAACTCACACTCTCGTGTGTATAAAAACATTGAACGCTCATCCTACTAGTCGACTCGAAATATGCCAAGTCATAACTTGCATTGATAAACAACACTTTCACATTTACATAACTTCTATGCACAAGGTCGGAAGGTCTTTTAAGCTTGTAATGTAAGGCTAGGGTAAAGGTAGGATAAATTTGGGATTATGTGAGAGAAAAGCTTTGCTAAAAGGGAGCCAAATCCTAATAAACCCATGATAAAAAATAATGATCATACACATCTCCAACATAACCAACTCCAAACAACAATCCGCCAAATATACTCCAAACAATATAAACAATCCCAACACTTACAATTTCACTCATAAGAATATAATAATATGGAATAGAGTGAATTGAAACAAACTTTGAACCACTTATTCTTTTTTCTTTCTTTTCTTTTGATTAACCTTCACTTAGAACATTTGAACATCAAACATTTTTTTTCTTAGAAGTTCACCTTTTTTTTTTCAAATTTCTCACTTTTTTTTTTGAACTTCTTTTTTTCATCACACTTTTATTTTTCTCAAAAATATACAACTTTTAAACTCAACAAAACAAAAATATGATCAAGAATGAATTACTTCTCAAAACCCACCCAAATTGTGCAAATAATGTGCACACTACAAACTCCCTCACCTCACTCACTAACAACATTTGAACATCAAACATTTTTTTTTTTTTTTTCTTAGAAGTTCACCTTTTTTTTTCAAATTTCTCACTTTTTTTTTGAACTTCTTTTTTTCATCACACTTTTATTTTTCTCAAAATATACAACTTTTAAACTCAACAAAACAAAAATATGATCAAGAATGAATTACTTCTCAAAACCCACCCAAATTGTGCAAATAATGTGCACACTACAAACTCCCTCACCTCACTCACTAACAGCTCCCCCAAGCCAAGCTTGGGACTAGTAACCAATGGGGCTCATGTAGGCTTGTAATGTGGCTAAATAAACAATAAAAGGGCACAAGCAACAACATGGGTAACAAGAAGGGAACAAATGTATCTAATACTCTGAAGGCTACCTAAAAGAATGAACGCCTTCGTCCTCCTCATGTGCATAATAATAAGTCATGAAACACTACTCATAGTTGCAAATCAATAATCAAATTCATTGACATACCAGGAATTATGGAACTATCACACATTTCCTAACCAAATCAACTAGTCAAGCACTATATTCACAAGTAGTTGGACAAAATTGACGCATGTTTAGGAATCCAAGCAATCAAACTTCAAATCATGACCAACAAATCCACAATATTCATCATCAAATACCAAGAATCAAAACAATTTTTCTCAAGTACGGGGCACAGGGAAGCATGATTTACAATTCATTGGAACGTATTTTTGAATTTTTTTATTTTTGAATTTTTTTATTTATTTTTCATATATAAGAAAGCAATAAAAACTACACTAGGAAAGCAAATAAAAACTATACTAGAAAGCAAATAAAGAGAGAAAAGGAAGAGAATTACCAAGTGAAAGAACACCCCCCCAAGCCAAATCAAGCAATGCCCTCATAGACTTGGGAGAGTAGCCTACTCCTCATCCTCATCCATCCTCGAATAGCCCCCGCCGTGGCTAGAACCGGCTCCTCCATGGCTAGAGCCACCACCTCCATACCCCGAACCACCTGCATAGTAGTTAGGGTCAACATTCCCACCCATACCCCCAGAAGGAGCATCACCCCCATATCCGTGGACCGAAGAGTAGTCCACATAAGTACCATACGCACCGGGGTGAGAATACCCTCCTTGGGGGTATTGGAACCAATCGGGAGTAAGTGAATCGGGAGGAATAGCCCCCCGACGGGC